AAAGCTCATGGTTGCTAAACCGAAAAGACTCGAGAGACAACTCCAAAATTAAACAACTGCTGCCTTGTAGTTCGTTCTTGGTTGAACAAAGGCTATTATGGAAGCAAACCCAAAAAGAAAAGCAGGCTGAAATCGGAGCCAATGGCCTCAATGGCGCATAACCAGTTGACACGTAATCCTTAATTGTGATGGAGGCGTGGTCGAGTCGGCAAAAGCTCATGGCTCGATCCCTTCCAACACTAAAAATTAAGAAAGAAGAAGAAGAGAAGAATAAGAAACATCACTGAAAGGGTATTTTCCCACACAAGTCCAACAGAAATCTTTCCATGAAGGGGTTTAATCCCAAATTAAAAAAAAAAATCTGAAACTTCCTAGAAAGCACAACAAAAAAGCCGTTGCTGCTAAATAAATTACTGTTGAGAACTGCCTGTAGTTTTGTGTGTTCATTAACGTAAATGAGCAGTGTTAAAAATAGTTCATGTTGTTTTAAAAAATTATCAAACTGGTTCGCATGCACATCTCCTACATGCTCATACTATTGTTTAATGAAAGTTAGTTTAAAACAATACCAAATACCTCTGAGAACGATGAAATGTCTTTATGAGTCAATTGATTAGCCAGTATCAATACTCTTATACTAATTATAACATCAAACTAGCCTAATCTTACCAATATCTCTTACACTTAAAACATCCTTGTACCTAATCCCGAGGCCAACTCTCACCCTAATCCTAACCTTAACGCCACTCTTTTAAGCTTCAGGTAAAAAACAAATCAGACACTGCATTGACCTGACGGCTTCTGTGGTGGAACTTAAACTATCACGAACTGAGGCGTAAAGTAATATAAAGATGGAGTACAGTAGCCTTTTAGACCTGGCGCTCTGTAGTGCAGGTAAAGCAGAGTTCATCTGTGAATTCGACCACGGCTTTTTAACAGACAGGCTAGTCAGCATCGCCGAATATAAGGTACTGCCCTCCCCCACTTAGCTTTAATCAGGAACAGTGTTTCTTTCACACTTTTGTTTTCTCCGTGGGAGGGGTTGGGGGACACACGTACGCATATACAAACGCACATATTTAATTTGTATAAAATAAAAGTTGATAGACGATGCGTAATAAAGAAACGCACTTTTCATCCTCCGTTGTACAAAATGAATTTTGAATTAAGATTTCCAGACATTTTATGGACGGCGGTAAGGATTGGACTGGGCTTGCTGATCTTTCCAATCAAAGAACATTTCAATCAGGCAATCATTCAAACATAATGCTCTCGCTTTTTATTGGCTTACATACACACACACACACACACACACACACATGAACACACACAGACACACACTCACACATATAGGCGCACACAAACATCTACATCTCTCTCTCTCTCTCTCTCTCTCTCTCTCTCTCTCTCCTCTCTCTCTCTCTCTCTCTCTCTCTCTCTCTCTCTCTCTCTCTCTCTCTCTCTCTCTCTCTATATATATATATATATATATATATATATATATATATATATATATATATATTTATTTATGTATTTGTATATATATATATATATATGTGTGTATGTATGTATATACAGAGGACAGAGAAACAGAGAGATAAAGAGAGAGAGAGAGAGAGGGGGGGGGGGGAGGGGAAGAAACAGCGCAGATGAAAGAGTCAGGGAGAGTAAAAATCTGATTTATACTGATAAGCTATTTTTACGATAGTTTTCTAAATCAGATTAATATAGAAAACTTTCTGAAAAAAAAAACGCAATAAAAACAGACAAAATAACTGATTCTATAGCATCTGTTGCATATACCTAACTAAACAAATTGCGGTGATATATAATTAACATGTAACAAGGTTGAATATAAAATTGATTGCTCAGATTCAGCCAGTAACAAAAGACGATTGACGTACATTACACTCTCTAAAGAAACAATATTCCGTTTCAATGGGGGCATCATCGAAAAAAAAATGATTGCTTTACTTTGGCTTCAAGTCTTTATTTATATTGTCGAAGCCAAAAAGTATGATGAAACTGGTGCACTAATACGTTCTAGCAATACGGGACGTGTGGCCGAGTGGTAGAGCGCATGCGTATCACTTAATTGACTGGACACTGTATGACAACAAAATCTCTGTTTAGTGGACACTACTTCACCTGCCCTCTGTAATACCGCATCCCAGGAGACGTATTCTTCTTTTACATAAAGCGCACGACGAATCACCAGTTTAAGAATATTTAATTTACGTATATTTAATTAATTAATGAAAATGTATAAGTATGAACAGAATTTTAATTGAAAAAATAGACGAAGAAAAACGAATAAGTTTTTTTTTTAAATTTTATACATTAAATATTAGAAATTGTTTGAACGCAATTATCGAAACATTAATTACTAATTAATTTAAATCAAGATTCGAACTTTAGATTTTTTAAAATAACTATACAATTTCTATTTAAAATATCATACCCGTGTGAGTCGATGATATTGAAGTATCGATAATGTGTGAGTAGATGCCGCGGGAGTATCGATATTATGTGAGCAGATACGGTTGAAGTATCGATGTTGTGTGAGTGGATGAAGTTGGAGTATCGTTTCTGTACGATTACGTGCTTTTCAATACTGTGTGTTGATGCGGTTGAAATATGGATACTGTATGAGTAAATACGGTTGAAGTTTCGATAATGTATGAGTAGACGTAGTTGAAATATCGATACTGTGTGAGTAGATGCGGCTGAAGTATCGATACTGTGTCTGTGGAAGTGGTTGAGGTATCGATACTTTTTTATATGTGCTGTTGAAGTATCGATACTGTGTGCTGATGCGGTTGAAATATGGATACTGTATGAGTAGATATGGTTGAAGTATCGATACTGTGTGAGTAGATCCGGCTGGAGTATCGATACTGTGTCTGTGGATGTGGTTGAAGTATCGATACTGTGTGAGCAGAAGCTCAATGTTTAACACGGGCTGAAAACGTGATGTCAAGTGACTCGAGTATTTCGTCTGGTATCGATTATCCTTCGGCATCGATGTGACAAACACGATGACACCCAGATTGTTCAAAGCTTTCAATTCCAGAACAATTTGTGACTCCAGAATCAGTGGGGGGGGGGGTGGAAGAAAGGATGGGGGTAAGGAGCTAGACAAGGCAGGGTGTGAAGAGGTGGGCGGTAGAGTCGAGTACTAGGGTAGTAGGGACCAGTGAGTGCATGAGGGGTGGGGGGGGGGGGGTGACGTGTACGGTACTTGGGTGGGGAGAATGACAGTGGGGTGGGGGTTGAAGGTGGTGGATGTACAGTACTTGGGTGGGGAGAATGACTGTTGGGGGGGGGGGGGGTGGTTGAAGGTGCTGGATGTTACTTGGATGACAGGGACTACTATGGTGAGCGGGGGTGGGGTTCGGGGGCGTGGAGGATGGTATGTGGGTGTCTAGCCCACAAGATCAAAGTCTTGCTGTAATGTCTGTTTTATGCCGGACCCTAAATCTTCACCCCCCCCCCCCTCCCTCACCCCCCACCCCCCATGCCATAATGCTCCTCACCCAACTACCACCGAACAAAACTTCAAACTGATGGTTTATCTGTGAAACTCTTTGAAGTTCCCAAACATTTTTTTTGTCTTGTCTTGATCGTGGTGTTTTAGTAATGCATTATTTTTTATTTATAGATATTGACCAATATGTTGTTATATCGAGTATAACACTAGCCCACACTCACCAGGCAGCTAATATAGTGACCAGTTAGTTGTTATACCGACCAAAGTGTTGTTATATTGACCAATGTTTTGTTATGTTGGCCAGTTAGTCGATATATTGACCAATGTGTTCTTATATCGACCAATGTGTTGATATATCGACCAATGTGTTGTTATATCAACCAATGTGTTGTTATATCGACCAAGGTGTTGTTATATCGACCAAGGTGTTGTTATATTGACCAATGTGTTGATATATCGACCAATGTGTTGTTATATCGACCAATGTGTTGTTATATCGACCAAGGTGTTGTTATATCGACCAAGGTGTTGTTATATTGACCAATGTGTTGTTATATTGACGAATGTGTTGTTATATCGACCAAGGTGTTGTTATATCGACCAATGTGTTGTTATATTGACCAAGGTGTTGTTACATCGACCAATGTGTTGTTATATCGACCAATGTGTTGTTATATTGACCAATGTGTTGTTACATCGACCAATGTGTTGTTATATTGACCAATGTGTTGTTACATCGACCAAGGTGTTGTTATATTTAGTATAACACTAGCCCACACTTACCAGGCAGCAGTAACCGGAAATGACGTGACACCCAAGTTCACCCAGTTCAGTACCCAATGCCAGTCAACAAGGACCTTGCGTCACCAACTATTCTCAACCCCCTCCTCTACCCCTTCCATCTACGTAACTTTAGATTCTCTAGAAGCAGGTGTATGGCGAACAGCTAGCCCCACAACTCACCTTTTTCAAGGTCTCCAGGTTGACATGTATGGTACCATGTGACTACCCCCCTACCCCCTCACCCCCGCCCCACAACTCACCTTCTTGAAGGTCTCCAGGTTGACGTATATGGTACCATGTGACTAACCCACCCCAACCCCCTCACTCCTACCACCCTAAACCCATCCCAACTCACCATCTTCAAAATCTCCAGGTTGACGTGTATGGTACCATGTGACTACCCCACCCCTCACCCCCACCCCACAACTCACCTTCTTCAAGGTCTCCAGGTTGACATGTATGGTACCATGGGACTACCCCCCTAACCTCTCACCCCCCACCCCTCACCCCCACCCCCCACAACTCACCTTCTTCAAGGTCTCCAGGTTGACATGTATGGTACCATGGGACTACACCCCTTCCCCCTCACCCCCAACTCACCCCTCAACCCCACCATAACTCACCTTCTTCAAGGTCTCCAGGTTGACGTGTAAGGTACCATGTGACTACCCCTCTACCTCTCTACCCCCTCAACCCCCCCTCCACCCTCCCCCACCCCACAACTCACCTTCTTCAATGTCTCCAGGTTAACGTGTATAGCCAGCTCCGTCTTGAGCTTGTCAGGCAGTAGCCCCAGGGAGTTGATGTCACACCCGTTCAGTCTCCCCCGGGACCACACGTAGTCGTACCAGCGCTGGACCCGCTTCTGCAGGTTGTGGGGTACGTTGTGGGTCTGCATGTAAATTTTGGCACCGTCCTGGAAAAATATCAAGTTATGTTTATTTTGGTACCGTCTGAGAAAATATCAAGTTTTTAATTTTTATTTTGACACCGTCTGGGAAAATATCAAGTTATGTTTATTTTGGTACCGTCTGGGAAAATATCAAATTTTTAATTTTTATTTTGGCACCGTCCTGGAAAATAACAAGTTATGTTTACTTTGGTACCGTCTGGGAAAATATCAAGTTTTTAATTTTTATTTTTGACACCGTCTGGGAAAATATCAAGTTGAATCTTATTTAGTCCTGGAAAATACCGTTTTATTTATTTTGACACCTGCTTGAAAATATCAAGTTTTATTTATTTTGACATATTTTCATTGCGATCTTGCTGGAACCAGCATGGAAAGTTACATTTTTTGTCGTTTTTGTGCCATTCTAAATACGAGGTGTGAGAGAGAGAGAGAGACATGTGTGTGAGTGTGTGTGTGTGTGTGCGCGTATTTGTTTGATGGCGATAGTTGACCATGCTTTCCTTCCACCACCACCTCACCTCATTCTAACCTCATCCTCACCTCATCCTCACCTCACACCCCCAACACACCCACACCACACCCACGCCACACTCACTTTACCCCCAACTCCACCCCACCTCACACCTACCTCACACTCACCTCACAATCACCTCCCCCACCTCACACTCATCTCACCTCCACTTCACACCCACCTCACACTCATCTCACCTCCACCTCACACCCACCTCACCCCCACTTCATCCCCACCTCACCCCCACCTCACCCCACTTCACCCCCATCTCACCCCCAACTCACCCCCACCTCACCCCCACACACACCTCACACCACCTCACACCCACCTCACCCCCACACACACCTCACACCACCTCACACCCACCTCACCCCCACTAAAAACGTCGGAGTTTAAAAACGTCGAATCCGAGCATTTGAACAAGGCATACAAAATCTACATGCATGTAGCGTGGCTGGGGGCGGGGGGAGGGAGGGTGGGGGAGAGTGCATATGATAAAAAGACAGCCCATTAAGTCTTGCACGAGGGATATTTTTGTCTTATCCTGGCGTTGCCCGATACATTTAGGGCTAATCTATTTAGTTATTGATTTTGTGATTGTGAGAGCTTAAGGTACAGAAAGATTTTTTTAAAACAAAGATGAATATGTATAACATGTATACCGTCAGCTCAGCCTATAAGCAAAGTCTGTATAAAATTGCTTTGCTATATTGTAATTACTAGCCCTAATATATATGTTTTTGACATTTTCTTTCTAAATTATATATATATATATATATATATATATATATATATATATATATATATATATATATATATATATATATATATATATATATATGTATACACATATGTTTGTATGTGTGTGTACGTGTGTGTGTGTGGCTTTGGTTACATGTTTCTCTGTTTATAACTAGGTGTAGTGTTAAGTTTAATTTTTTATTATTATTTAAAGAGAACCATAAACGTTTTTTGTTTCATTATCAAAAGTCTTTCCTCGTTTCGCCCCTGATTGCCTGGTACCAAAGAATCGGCACGCTTTGGTTAGTACGTAATCGAGAACCGGACGCAATATAAAAAAGGAAATAAAAAATATAAGGCTTCTTCCAGACTTACCAGCAATCGTTCGAATTCCTGCCTGCTTGCATTTCTATTGTTGATGACGTTACCAACTTGACCTGTGACGAAATGTTAAATTAAATTTAGCTTTTGTGGAATAACTCGGTGTTTAAAGGTTTTTCATAATCAGTCCGGTGTTTAGTAATACCTGCTGAACGCCAGGCACTCTTATTCTGATACTTGAAATTTTTTAAAAATAATTATCGTAATTCTATTAATTATGAGGATCCTGCTTCATTAGCTAATTGGAGTTAACAACCCCCCCCCCCCCCAACCCACACAGCTGAAATAGACCACGCCCCAGTAAATTTAAATAAAAATTTCTGACCAGAGGGGTAATAAATGTCACGCGCTATGTCACATGACTAGGATCTTTGTTACTGACGTCATTGCCCAAAGGTTAGTGTGGTTTCCTGGACACGTGTACCCTCACGTGATTGGGATGTTGTTTTTTACTTTAGATTTTAGATCATAGAGATATGTGTAAAGACTCTTCGTGGGAATACACGCAACATCATAGCATTGTTGAAGGCATTAGTGGATATATATAAATAAATAAATAAATAAATAAATAAATAAATATATATATATATATATATATATATATATATATATATATATATATATATATATATATATATATATATATATATAAACATTTTTTCAATTTTTTTTAAAACCAGAGTTTCTTCGAGGCATCTCTTCAGGGGGGAGGGGGGTGGGGGCTCCGAAGAAAGTCTACCGCCCCTCCCGAACGTAAAGAAATTTACATAGAAAATATATACTTGTATATACTTTAACAGTGTCCGCCCCCCCCCCCCCCCTGTTTCAAACGTATGTTTATGTGTTTAGTCTTGCTATTCATTTTATCACATGCTCAAGATTTACGCAGTGACATAAAAGGAATAAAAAACAGAAAACTTAAAAATAAAAATGTTTCAAAACAAATATAATTTTAAATTATTGACGTCGGGTCGTGTGGGGTGTGTCTATCAAAACCATCGGGTCTACGTGTAAGGACCATAAATCTCACAAACATCGTACCCAAAACACGTCGTGTTTACCAGTCTTATCACGACCATCAACCAATCGTTTTGCTTCAAAAGCAAATATCAGGTCACGTGATATTTGTTTCTTTTTGTTTTATTTTAAAAAAAATTAGTTTCATTTTCTTTTTCTTTTCGTTTCTTTTTAATTTATTTTTTTGAAAACAAAAATGATAAAAACGCGTCTTTTCCAAGTTATTTACCCAAAGAAAATTTTGTTTTATATTTAGTTTATTCTAATACTTTGTATAGAGTTGCCCATAGTAGCATTGATTTAATAATGAGACTACTTTTGTTACGCATGAAGAGTACATCCTTATATGACTACTAGATTTTTAGTCAATGTTTGACAATCATCATAAATGGCTTTTAAATGTAACCAGACCATTCTAAATTACGGAGCCACAAAGTTTTACCTCCCTTTAGACTAGTCTAGCATAACATCAGGTAAAAAAAAAACACACACGAGTTAACTAGCAGTTGATATTAGTTCTAATTAGGGGCATTAAAACCTTTATTTCGAAAATTAACAAAGTCAAATTATAAGTAAATTATTTCCTGTATAAAATATACATAAAATTACGTAATACTACCCCATCACCACCACCACTCACAAACAATTCCCTGTTTTTGGCAAAGCATGTGTCTGTTGGCAGGTCAGATTTAGGGGGAGGGGAATGGGGGGGATTCCCTAGCTCCCTCTCCTCCTCTTTCTCCCCTACCCCCCCCCCCCCCCCACCCTCCCGCTTGCTGCGCCTCTGTATCTCCCTTAAAGCACTTCCTACATTTACATAACGATAGCCCTGCAAAGATTCCCAACACCTATGCTACGAATTATCCCAGAAATCTTGCCTAAAACCACGCCCCTGATTCACCCTTGACCCCCTTCCCTCCATCCCTGAAGACAAGATGTCCGCCTGTCAGGTTTCATTGACTTAATGTAGGATCATCCCAAATTATCCGGACCAACCTTCGAGAAATTATGGAAGACATACTAATCAATACATCGGCTCTTCCAAACTCCCCGGCTTTGATGTCTTTCAAGTAACTAGATCTAAATAACATTATTAGATCTGGCTTTACCCTGTATTAGTGTCATTTGACTGGGAAAATAGTTCAAGTTCAGGTTTTGCTAAACACCAGTCCGATCCGTGTAGATACCCAAAAACACTTTTACTTGTAAATGTTAAAAAATAAATACTGTATTTATATTAGACATATTAATTTACTTTATTTTCATAAATTAAAAATAACCTTACTTTTAAAAAATTCGTTATTAATATATACACTTAACATAATTGATATTTTAAAGTTAGGTATGGAATACAAAACGTTAAAAAATAGCGATTTTGTACAAGATTTAACTAAAGAATATACTCACCAACAATTGTAGCAAAGACGAACACACCGATTAGATAGCTCACTGTAACAAACACGTATCTGATAAAATAAAATGAAAAAATAATTCAAATTCTGTATATTACAAATATAATCGTTCTTTTATATCCTGCACCTATTGTTCTTATTCCTAACTTTGATATATGCCAATATAATATACAGGAAAAAATACAAGTACAGAAGTACATATTTTATGTAGATGCATATTGTTATCATAATTTAATATTCATGACTAATAAATTATGTATTTTAAAATTTTCAGATTAGCAAACAGTTTAAAGATTATTATATATAATTTTGCTACATTTACATGAATTTTCATTTGATTTAGTGCCTTAATTACACTGATTTTACTGCATTGTATTTCAATCTACTTTCAGATTACTATATTCTAATGCAGTTAAGTAAAATAAATAAGAAAATTGTTAAAATATTCCCATCCTTAACCAAAGTCATGCTAAGTTTTAATACGTCTGTCTTTGTTACATTGCTATTCACGCTGTTCCATGTCCATGTCTTTCGATGAAAAGACTAGTCAGAATTCCGTCTAAGCCCCTATAGGGCTGGTAAGTAGGTCACCAACCAGTTCTATGGCTCATGCAGGTTTTATTGAGCCGTAGAACTGGTTGGTGACCTAGCGATCAGCACGATAGAGTGCAGGCTTTTAGACTAATTAAATGATTATCTCCACTTGTCATCTTCCCAAGAAATAGCAGGTTTTCTTATCTTTCGTTGTGCGCACTAACTTTTAAAGGCCCAATGTTCCATAAGGAGCAAAGAGGACTAAGTCAAGTAAGTCAATAACTTTCAAAGGCCGAGATAATTGTTTCAAAACTCCCCCACACCCTCCCGCCCCTAGTTAGTTATGGTGGAGAAGTTACTATAAAATGACGTCGTTTCTTTATATATACATACAATATATATATATATATATATATATATATATATATATATATATATATATATATATATATATATATATATTTGTTTGTGTGTGTGTAAAGTGAGTGTTTGCTTTTTATTTCGACATTCTATTGTAGATTTACAACTGTGAAGTAGAGTTCCCATATATATGTGATTATCTGTCTCAGCTTATGAAGAGATTGCTTGCCATATATCCTGTCTACAGTAAAAAAAAAATATGTGTGTATCATACGGCAATCGACTTTGAAGTTTTGAAATTTTACTTGGGCCAGGCTTTTAAGCAATGAAAAGCCAAATAACTTTTCATTTTTTTAGCAATAATTTTTTTTAAGCTCTATTCTCTCATATGCAGAATTTTTTGGTAACAAAATGATTTCTATTTTTAAAAAAAATTAGAATGAATAGAAAAGCAATTTATTGTGACAGTTTTTAGATATATTATTTTTTTCTTTTTGGGCGAAAGTAAAGAGCGCTGTGAAGATTTAAATTCACTTTATTTAATTTATTTTGGAATCTACAAAATCGTTTTTTTATGACTGGTTTGGTTTATTTCCATGAGGGTGTTTTTGCTTTGGTGTTTTTAGTAAGAGATTGGTTAAGTGGTAGAGCACATCGTAATGATTATGTTTGGTTTGAGTTCGAATTTACGGAGATGTTCCATCTATTCTGATGTGTGGGGGGAAAAGCATAACATTTTTAAAAAATAGTTTCATGGCAAACACAGATTTCTTCGTGCTTGGTCAACTCAGCTCTAATGGGTACCTGAAACCATACTCCTGGCATCCAATCCCTTCATAAGCTGAAGTAAATGAAACAGATTAATTTCAAAGACCGTAATTTTGCTTAACCATGTTATTGTCATAGACGTTTTTTTTCACTAAAAATTCGTAAAGATCATTATTTTATGATTTAGTTCCATAACGTTTTTAGGAAATACTGAGTGCTTTTGGCTGCCAAAACATTAAATGAATAGCTTGACGATGCCTATCAATAGTTTTTAAGGGGGCTGTATCACTTAAACTAAGGGAGAGAAACAAACATATTCATAAAATTTTTTTAGACATATACATGTCACAATTTTATAGTGGTAGTAACGTTGTTTTAGCTATAATACAGCATATAATTTATGGGGTTAATAAATAGCAAATAAAATTCAAAAATTAAATTTGTTAGTATTTTATTACATTTTTTTTAAATTTGTAAACTTTTTTCCTAAACCATTAATAAAGTACTTAAAATTTATTTTAAAGTTTCCTTACGACATCAAATTTGATTGTTTTTCAGAGGTTAAGTGTTTTGTCAATTTCAAAAGTCCCTCCACATGGGTCTGACCTTGAAAATTCGAGGAATTACAAGATTACACGCAACGGACAACCTAGTTCCAACGGTAGGGTAATATGTTATGCATCTCCTAGATTCGGCTTAGAGTAGTTTCAGCAGGAAAGGCCTAAAAGTTGGAAAACCGCAGCCCAATATTTCTTATTAAAAATGATTGGGTAAAATTATTTATAAAAAATGTTTGCATTATACAATGACTTTTTTACGTTCTGTTGTATAGCTCCTTGATAATAACTATTATGGTAAAAAATGTGTGTATGTATAATAGTATTTTTTTTTTTGGCAAATCTTTTCGTCAATTTTCCATTGTCTGGGTGATAATGCCCCTTTAGTAAAGAATAAAAGAACAGTTGTAAATCATTTACATGCACGACAAGATTAATTCATCCACAACAAATACAACATTGAAATATACAACATTTAAATTTTAAAACAGCTCCATGCAACAGCTTTAACACAATGAACATCGAGACTTACGCGAATTCAGTTAATTCTAGTACCAACTTCGCCTGACGTGTGAAACATACGACACTCAATGAAATGCTGTTTCTACTACAGACTGATTTAATTAAGATAATTTAAAACAACGCAGCATGGACCTTATAAAATAAGTTGTGATCTTCCTACAATTAAGACTAATTAATTAATTATAATTAGTCAAAAATGCTACTGAGATGTAGTTTTAAATACTTGAAAAATTTAGAAACGATCTTCACTTTTGTATTAATTGTTAGCCAATTGTGTAATACACTTAATAATTTAGTAAAATATTTGGACTATTTCGGGGTGAGGTGGTTATTTGGGGTGGTTTTTTTAGAAGTTAGTGGAGGGTGAGTTGAGACCAGTCTAAGGGTAGTGTGGGTAGTGGCTATTTTGGTGTGGTGGGGGTCATTGTTTGAATCTAAAGAGTTTTCACGCGATTATTTTCGCCTCATGTTTAAGTCGTACATTTGTTAACAGATCTGGCATAGCAGTATAAAAAGACTGCCAGTGTTGAAAGTACCGAAACAAATCATGAAAAAATAAACACAGAATAAAATAATTGATCTAACAGCAAACACAATGTTTAACAAATGAATACGTTTAAAAAATGTAATACATTGTAACACAGTAGAAACGTTGATAAAATGATGTATTCACATTTTAAAATATGATATTCGTGTAGATTCGGAAAAAAAAACAATAACATATTTTTAAAAAATGTAATACTTTTAAAAATATTTTTATGTGATAAATGTATCAAATTTCAATTTGAGGTTATCTAAATCTTGATATCTAAAAATTGAGATCGTAAATTTAGACAATTAAAAACATGTTTAGAATTTTTTATCTCAAAATAAATTAGTACTTCCAAAGTGAACGGCTAGGAGATGCAAGTAAAAACACAACGGAAATATCAAAATGATGAGACTACGATTGAAGATACGATAGCACAAAAAATGCGAGACAATATATAATACGAGACTATACCGAGGGCTACTTACGCTGCGTTGGACATGCGCATACTGAAGGAGGAAATCATGAACATGTTAAAAGCTGGTTCATGTATTAAAAAAAATCACAGTATAGATGATTTTTTTTAGGTTTAATGATATGGGTAGACTGACTTTGATATCCAAATTTTTATTGAGTATGATGGTGTATGCTGGAGGTTGACCCAAGCAGTGGCGTAGCCAGGATCGTCTCAAGGGGGGGGGGGGAGGGGTCCAATTTTTACCCGGGGACAAACTTTCGATTTGCACCCCCCCTCAAACTTTCGATTTGCACCCCCCTTTAAACTTTCGATTTGCACCCCCCCCCCTCATACTTTATATATATATATACCGAAGGGTCTATGGGGGGGGGGGGGGTTATGACCCCCCTCCCCCTAACCCCCCCCCCCCCCCCCCCCCGCCTACGCAACTAGACCCAAGATAAATCATTTGTGCTTGTTAAAATAGATTTAGTAAAAAAAATTGCTCTTAACGTTAAAAATAATGTTCTAGAGGTTGGTAAAACGTAACGCGGTTTTATGATGACGTGTGACGACAGGGTAGGGGAGGGGGGAGGAGTAAGTATTGGCTGTATTTGCGACATGTCGCTTATGGATCATTTCTAACACCCGCGACCAGGGGCGTAGCGAGGGGGGGGGGGGGGCGGGGGATGCGGATCGCACCGGGTAACACCATTTAGGGGGTGACACCAAGGCAAAAAATAGCAAAATATATAGAGAAAAACTTGAGGGTGGGGTGACACCATTAAGTGCCGCATCGGGTGAGACCCGACCTCGCTACGCCACTGCCCGCGACAATGAATTTTTGTTTTCTTTTTTGTTCTTACTGCTCTCAGCTACCCAGGACTATTGGTCTGAATCGATATCACACCAACGACATGATTTGCTGCTACTCTAAAAAAAAAAACCCAAATCCATGAAAATCCAACCTCCCTCATCTCACTTTCAAAAGATCTCCTCCGTAACAATGGGTGGGGCGACATCATTTAGTGTGATTCATTACAATGATAAATATGTTTTAAAACAAAATGAAATAAAAGAAGTGTAGCTTACTTAGATTAAACCCGTCCATATTTTAATAACCAGAACCCAGTTCGTAAACCTGCAAACCTCCTTTAAGGTTCAGCTCATAGATTAATATAGAAACCTGTTTAACAGGTTGCAAGAATTAAAAAAAAAAAAACAACAACAAACAACAACATATGAATTTTCGTTTTGCGGTAGTGTATAAATATCGGTGTTTAAAATTTTCTCCTCATCTAGCGAGACGAAAATAGTTATCTTCAGAAAAGCGCCAACAATCAGATTTACAAAAAAAATTTTTCTCTATGTTCCAATAGGCTGTATGGTATAGTATATTATACGAGCCGACCCGCTGCGTATCATACGCCGCTATTTAGTTGTTTTATTTTCTACTTTTCAGTAATTCATAATTTGTGAATTCGACAGTACCAGTGCTGCCACTGAAAATATTTGCTTTAAAACACTACCAGTAGCTCGTTGAGGACGATAACCCCCCCCTCCTTTCTTGGGGAAAGGAGTGTGGGGGTAATGTCGTATTGCCCTACACCCTTCCCCCTGTAAAATCAGCCTCCTCTTAGTTACCTCCCCTAAGTTTAAAATCGTTTCAAACTAAAATACCTGCCCTAGTAACCGACACTAAATCCGGCTCTACGAATGTAAACATTTAACGTGAACCAAAGCTCACCAGACCATGTAGGGGTGGGGTGGTAGGGAGCGCGCTTACAGCTTGTTTTCTAGCGTCTCCCAGAAGAGAAATATATATATAGATTTAAATATCTTTCCTTATTACAATAAAATGACAGCTACTTCAACATTATATTTATTGTGAAACATATTAATATGTAATAGATCTTGTGTAACATGAGGGGACGAAAAAGCTTAGTGAACATAGTAGTGCAGAGGAAACAGACAGTTTACCAAAGGAAAAATTTCGGTCGTCTAGTTTACTACAAAAAACACTATTTTTTTTTTGAAGATTCAAAACACTGGTTAATTCAGGAATATGAATTTTGTGTCATCATCAGATGAAGTAGAGTTTATCTGTTGACCTCGGTCAGCACTATGACCAGAAGCCTTTGTAAGTACCTAGATTTGTGAGCGGATTCGTACTCGTGACTTTCGGGTTATGAGAATGGCTCTCTACCGCTAAGCCACACCGCCCCCGATTAATGTAGTATTTTATAATACTTTATTTTACATTTTTAGTGTTTTTCGGTGATACCTTTCATTTTTAGTTTAGTTTTATTTTCTACGGAATAATTTTAGTTCCTTAAAATATTAACAAACTAATGAAAAGGATTTTTGTAAAAAATATTTTTTTGATGTTTACATTTGTTTTGATATTACGGCGCAACCCGTATGTCACTGGTTGTTTAAAAAAATGTTTTGTTGTTAGCGGATGTCACACGGTGACCCCAAGCTAGTGATTCCGCGCATGCGCAGATGGCACATCAGTAACCAGCTGGGGATTTGTTCCCAGTCCCAGGGAATCAGGAAGGGATTTAGAGCTTCCATGTGACAACATGAGTGGAATGTGGTTAATGGGTGGGTAACAAGAAAAGGTGGGTTTTGGGGGGATTGAATGGGGAAGATATGGATGGTAAACGCGTTAAATTGTGTGGGTGGGTTTTTTTTTCCCAGAACTTGGAGTTGGCTCTGCAATGGAGGCTAGCGAGTTGACAAGATTCCTTCCATAATGTTGTTGACATGGAATAAAAACATGCTTTTTAGATTTAGACCGTAAAAAAAAATAAAAAATAAAAACTTAAGCCTAAAATTAATTTAAAAATTTTATATTTTTAGAATAAATGCTATAAAAGTTGCAAATCCAGAGAACTTGAAAATAATTTGTTGAGTTTAAGGCTACATTTCTATTTATTTTCATCAAGCCTAAGTTATAACCGGATGTTTCACTTTCGTAAGACAAATATTGATTGGCTGTACAGTAACTTAGTGATCGATAACTATTTGTTTACAAAACTTTGCAGATCAAGTTTTTAAATAACAATGCAAATTTAAAACCCCATGACCTAGTTTTCTATTTTTAGCTTACAATGTGTACAATAAAATCAATGGCGGCCTATCCAATAGCAGGATGCCATTGTTTATGTCGCCATTACACGTGAAAACCAAATTGTTTTTGCTTTTTTTTTTAATTTTTATTTAGTTACCGAAAAATATTATAAACATCAAATACATCCAATCTTTAGTAAAGTCCGAAAAAAACCAGACAGACAGGATTTTATAACCATATTGATTGTAACTACGCTGTGCATGATTTTTAAATGAATTTATACACCTCTCAAATACCTTTGAGACTTTTCTCGCTGGTGTCCATTGAGAGGGATGTGTCTGTGTGTGGAAGTGTGTGTGTGTGTGTGAGGATAATGTGTCAATATAGAGATTGGAAGCTTAGAGCGATAATGGTCGGCCTTTGGGAAGTGGGGTGGGGTGGGTGGGAAGGGGAAGCTATCTCACACTCCTAATTGAACGCGTCAGGATAAATAGTTATCCATACAGTAAAGAGGGCTGAAGGCGGGGGGGGGGGGGGGTCTATATGCTAGTATGTGGTCAGCACAGATGACTGGTTATGTAGTGATGGAGGGGGGTGAAAGGGGGGTCTATATGCAAGTATATCGTCAGCACAGATGACTGATTATGTAATGATTGGTGTGCGTGTGAGGGGGAGGGGTCTATATACAAGTAGCCTATATAGTCAGAACAGATGACTGGTTATGTAGTGATAGGGGGGGGGGTGAAGGTGGATGGGGGGGGGGCTTTATGCAAGTATTGTCAGAACAGAAGACTGGTTATGTAATGATGGCGGTGTGTGGGGGGGTCTAAATGCAAGTATATAGTCAGAACAGAAGACTGGTTATGTAATGATGGCGGTGTGTGTGGGGGTCTATATGCAAGTATATAGTCAGAACAGAAGACTGGTTATGTAATGATGGGGTGTGTGTGGGGGTCTAAATGCAAGTATATAGTCAGAACAGAAGACTGGTTATGTAATGATGGCGGTGTGTGTGGGGGTCTATATGCAAGTATATAGTCAGAACAGAAGACTGGTTATGTAATGATGGAGGGGGGGGGGGGGGGTAAATCTTGAAGCCTATACTACAAAGTGTAATTTAAAATAAATATTTGCCAAACTTCAAAGTGAAGGTGGGGGGAGAGGGCTGATGCAAAATGTGCAGCAAAAATCCAATGTTTAGCTGTTCATACTGGAGCTATGGCAGGTAGAGTCTGGTATGTAAAATCACGAAGTGCGAACAAAACAGTCGACCAAATATGAGCAGAACGAGTTTAGGAGGGGGTGGGGGGTGGGGGTGGGGGGGGGGAGATACCACACGTTATAATATTATTTAAAGTAAATTAATTAAATATTTAGCGGTTAGAGAAAGTGTCAAGCATGACGGAGTGAAGTCAGAAAGTCCAAATAGTGACCAAACAGGAGGGTAGGGGGGTTGGCAGAGGCAAGGGGCAGACGCACCCCTCACGTAAAATCACGCCCATCTGATCAACATAGATGCTAGACGGTAAAGTGGAGCTTAAAGCCAATGTTAAATCAAGCCCCAGGAGCTTCGCCTGAGCTCCTCAAGCTAACAGATGAGCATGCTGGGAGAATTGAATTTTCTTATTACGGGAAGAAGATTCGGATTGGCGAAAAACCCAAGAAAGCCAAGCGAATGAAAGTCGGAATTGTTGCATCTAATAATAAATACCATACAAGAGGAAACTACAAGGGAAATAACTAAGGTGATAAAGGAATCTAAAACAAGGGCATACGGATAGATACTATACAGAAACATAATTTTAACACCTTGTACGGTGTTTAGTAAAAGCTAGAGTTTATGTTTTTTGTGGTAATAGTTTTATTTTTGTGTCTTCTCAAGTACAGTGTTCCTTATTTTATTTCTTAAATGATATCTGATTTGAATTGACTTAAAATATTTTTAAAATAAACCGGGAGTGATCTCCCCTAAACTT